CAAGCAAAAATAAAAATAAGTAAAATAGCTTAAATTTCACAGCAATACAAGTTAAAGGAGCAATGCTCCGCAATCCATGCGTGGTCACTAATGATACAAGGCACGGACACAACAGTCTAGCATCTATGGTTACTAAATGAAGATCTTTGCCCTGTGTTGTGATGTTGAAGATCAACCAACTAGCTCTGTGAACATTCATTTGAAGATTTCTTTCCTTCTCCAGCGGGCCCTCAGTTCTGACTTTGTTGGTGGATTAAGCAGGATTAAGCAGGCCAGGCATAGAGAAAGCATCCTTGCCGATTTTCCATGGCAGTGCCCCCAGTGGTGTTCCCCTCCACCACCTCTCCTGCAGTCACCTACTTACCCATTTCCTCTTAGTCACTAACTGTCCTTGGTGCTGTCTGCACTTGCTTGTGTCCTCATTTCTGGTGGCCTGAAATCTCTTTGCGCTGCTTTTCTTTCTTACCTGTGGGAAGTTCGGTTTCACTTCAGATTAGCTTCCCATTTGTTCTTCCACCTTGTAAATCCAGGTTGCATTTGTCCTCTCAGCGTTTCTAGTCTCCTGCTAAATGCAAGGCCTTACTCCACAGGACTTTTTATTATTATTATTTTTTAATGAACGAAGTTCTCTGTTTTCCACTTTTCTACTTTAAACTTGGTATTTTGTATTTTATTATTGCAATTATTTATTTATTGCATTTTTAAGGAACACATTTACTCTTTTTTCCAACTGGTAGTATCAGCAGTGCTTGATCACAGGTATGTAAGTTTTCTGTGACTAGAACCTGTTACAATAAATGCTCTGTTCATATACCTATAGTGGGAGCTGACCCTAAAACCAAATTTAGGCTCCAAAAGATACAAATAATGCTGTATGTCTTAATTAAATGATCTTTTCTCAGATTTTACAAAAATATCTCAGTAATCTCTTTTTTACACAGAATACTATGTTTCTTTTAGCTTACTTATAATACTGTCTAGAGAGCAGCTTGCTGATATTTCTGATATTGATTTCATTTTCAAGGAAACTCCGGCATGTATTAAGTAAGAACCTTCATTTGTAAAACACCATGGGCCAAACATGTAAGGCTCTATGACACTGAGCATACACACTCTGAAATCCTCATCAACTCTAGGAAAATTTCTATAGAGTTTTGCGTATAATGCTATAGTAAGCATCCACTTCTGAGAAGTCACTGTAGATGTAATCTCTTGTCAAGAAGATTAAAAGTGGATAAATCCACTATATATTCATAATATTTTAAAGCATATTTGAAGAAATAAATAATTCTACCTTTAGGTCACACAAGAGACATTAAAATCCTGCTATCTTTATCTTTCTTGTATAGTGAGGCAATTTTTATGATGCTTCTTTATTAAAACTGACATAAACCATCACAATTGCATGAACGATGCATGTGAGAATGATGTGTTTAATGGCAATGCATAGGATATCTTAGATATTGACAGATTCTCAAATGGGGTATAGGGAATTCTGATTATAGCGATAGAGAGGAAAGATCAATTATTTGTTTTATGTAGGGGAGTTACAGGTCAGATGTGGAATAGACTCATTATTTTTCTCTTATTCCCAAAGGCTTGTTCCAATAAGTGTCTATTGATCTATCTTCTCCAATGGCATTCCCCTAGTGATGGATTAGGCATTTTTATGCTTGTGATTCAAAGTTCTTTTGTATGAAAGTTAATTTTTCATTTGTCCAACTACTTACTTTTCAAAAATTTAGATTTTATAATCTTAGTGTAGTAACAGGCAAAACATGAAGTCTGTAACTTTTCATAGTATTGCTTACTTTATATATTTAAATGCAAACTGAACCATCCACAGTAGATAAAACAGGAAATAAAAATTCTAGACTAAGCAAAAGGTATAAAAATTGAGAGGAGACAGTTGCTACTTAACTCCATAATATTGTCTAAGAATAGGAGAGTTTGATTTCCTTGTTTTTTATTGTGATTGTATGTATGTGTGTGTGAATGTATATATTTAATTTCAACATACTTTTCAGAACAGCAAGTCTTTTGCATACTATATTCACCAGTAGCATGGCAGTTAACAATGACATTGCATTATTTTGCTAAGAATATGCAATAATATTGTAAAATAATTTAAAATGTCCTTTTGCTTACAAAATTTGATTCACAAACACCACTGTCATGTAATTTTACAAGATATAGTCTTTGAGGCAATGTTTTCCAAAGCTACTCATTATGAATTGTTAAAATCAGTTATAATATATATATATGTACATATATGAATATTTTATGCAATTTTCAAAAGAAACAGACATTCACAGTTCTTTTGGCCTTGGAATTTTACACTGTAATTTCATCTTTTGATTTTAATATGACGTATTGAAAATAATGGGGAAGGGAGATACATAAGGGAAGAAATTAATTCTCTCATTCAGCTGGGAAATATGCATGAAAAGGGCTATAAGAGAAAGAACAAAAAGTAGACTAGCCCAGAATCAAGCAAGAAGACTGAAAAGCCATGCTGAAGAAATTACAACCATTAATAATATTTCCTTTGGAGGTAGTGACTCAGACAATCACCCAGTGAAATGCCACTATTCACAAAGAAAGTTGGGTTGAAGAACATTGGTGTGACACTTACTCTCTTCCTACCAGGCATCATGCCCCATCAGAGAAACACAGCAACAACAAAAACAAAAAAACAAAAAAAAAAAAACAAAAAAAAAAAAACAAAAAAAAAAAAACAAAAAAAAAAAAACAAAAAAAAAAAAACAAAAAAAAAAAAACAAGCTAGGTAATAGTGTAGGATATACCAAACTTGGGCACGGCAGTGCTTCTGTGTACCTTTAACATCTCAAAGTGCTATGTAGTAAGAAATAGTAAGAGCTAAAACCACAGAACTCCAAGGCTGAAACAAGGGTCTACAGACAATTAAAATTATTCTTACTAATGGAGGTGTTTCTGAGCAGCACACGTAGGACATTCAATTGGTTATTACAAATTGATAGTCCTTGTGTTGCCTATTGTAAAACCCATTCATGCTTGGCTACAAACCATGACAATATATGCAAAAGAATATAAATGTGAATTACCCAAGCCAAACAATGATGAAGACCTGAAAATAACAATGATAGATCTTTGCTGACTTGTGAGAAATTGCACTCAATTTATGACTGTGCATTCTATAAAAAGTCAAGGTATTTCTTGATTAGACATATTATATTTGGTTCTTATGTATGGAAACAACAAAAGGGAAACACATAAAAAATTAAGAGATTTTAAATGTGCCCTCACAAGAAAAATTGGATTAATGTAGAACAATTTTGAATGATATATTCTACATGTAAAGACGATTTGCCCTTCAATAAACAGCAGTTTTCACTTTATAATTTCTATATTTCTTTTGAATTGATACATAGACACACCTCCACAAATGCCATTTCTCTTTGACTCAAATAAGAAACTGTTGTTATTCTTCTCCCTGCTGCTAGTTGAGAAGTCTGTGTAACAAAAATGCATTAAGGCAAGCAGGATTTGCTTAGACATCAATAAACTGGAAAGGCTCCCGGCAGGCCACTTGTAGTGTCAATAAAGGCTCATAATGACTTGCTCCTTGGTGGTTTTAGACTCAGCCCTTTGCTTGGCTGCACTGCAGAGATTAGGCTCTCGAAACTTGGGAGATTTTTAATTTAGTAAGTCTCAAGCAGAGATTGGCAAGCATCAGCAAGGAACCCAGTCTCACAATAAGGTTTGTTGTGTTATTTTTAGAGACTTCAACAGCTAGTCAAACTCTACCCCTGAACTTCCGGAACCCCAGATTTTAAGTAAGAGTGATGTCTTTTCAGGTCAAACTGCTCCAAGAGTTACCCAGAATTCCTTCTGCAGTCCAAGGATGGCCAGGTTCTAGTGGTGGGCCTCATTATTTCCTGATGTGGAAAGGTAAACTTAAATGGCTTGAGGCAATGCTCAGCCTGAAGGAGCAGGAATTCAGACGTCAGAGCCTCAGGGATCTTGGGGCTCAGGCACACAGATAGGAAGGAGCCTGGCTTCCAGGCTCTGTCTCCTGCTGTGGAAGAGTGCAGATGGTAGGTGTGATAAGCCCCTGCAGTCAGCTCTCCTGGATGTGCCGGAAACTATGAACGGAGAGGTGCTCACACACACAACTCAGAAAGCGCGCCAGCTGCACAATACAATAGGAATAAGGAAAATGGTAGGAGGGAGGAGGCGGGAGAATCAGAGGCCAACACACTTGAGTCAGATTTTCAGGAGGTGCCTGCCTGTCCTGCTTTCAACCCTTCCTTTCTTCTTTCCTTGGGCAGTGAATGTGTTTTTGGTTGCCTGCGTCCAGTCCAGAGGTTGCTTCTTTTTTCTCAGAACCCTGCTTCTCTGCAGTGAAGTTTAAATGGCAGTGGACTTCCCTTCTCTTCTTCGTGAAGAGTTTCCAAATGACAATTGGAGGGGGTCACATAAATAACGTTCATAACGCCACCTTTGACTTCACTTGCTTACCGCAACCTTAAAGCTGGAATCCTCATTACCACCCATTCTGACGGAGACCAGCTCATTGGCTCCTGTACATATTTGCATTTTCCAGAGTTGCGCAACGAATAACGAATGTCCTCCTTTCACTTCCCGGCTACATCGGACGGCTTTATTCGCTAGTGCGATCATGTATGTTTAGCAAACACGCTTTCAATAGCAGGCTCCTTTCTCATCCCACCCCTAGCCCTAAGCATTGCATTCCTCCGGTGGGATGAGTCTCTCATCTTTCTCAGATCAGATGCACTCCTTACATTGATGTAGTCAGATGGTCTGGACGCCCGCGGATCCGGAGCTTTGACGTTTGGGCGTCCTAGGAGACGCGAGACTCTCCTCCTAGCAGCCGCCAGCAAGGCAAGGCAACAGCAGCCTCCGCCCCCTCAGCCCGGTGATTGGCTGGCCTTGCTTATCATTTCCCTGCTACGGCGAGGAAAGGGCCAGTGACGCCCCCGAGCCCAGCTGCAGAAGCGACCGCCACCTCCAATGCACAAGGTGTCACATTTGAAAAGAAACCTGAGCCCGGGGGAGAAGGCGCTGAGAGACCCTGGCCTGGCTAGTGCAAACTGCGCGGCAGGGCGCTGGGCAGCGCTGGAGAACCCAGAGAGCTCCACCGCAGACCATCCTAGCGACCTGATTCTGGGATCTCGGCTCCACGCTCCCTTCGCAATTTTCAGATTTCTCTCCCTCGATTATTTCCCCAAAACGGAACCTTTATACCAAGAGAAGGTGCCGGAGCTGGGGCAACCAGGACTTTCCCGGGCACCCAAGATGCGCTCCATTAGAAAACGGTGGACCATCTGCACTATAAGTCTACTTCTGATCTTTTATAAGACAAAAGAGATAGCCAGAACTGAGGAGCACCAAGAGACGCAACTCATCGGGTAAATGCACGTTTAGGATGTGACACAAAGTCAGGCTGTAGTGAAGTGTGCTTAGAGTGACGTTCGGGGTGCTGTGTGTGTTGCTTGTGAGCCTGCCTGTGTGCCTGTCAGGAATTCAATAACAAAGGCTCTCTCTCTCTCTCTCTCTCTCTCGTGTGTGTGTGTGTGTGTGTGTGTGTGTGTGTGTGTGTGTGTGTGTGTGTGTTTCCCAGGCTGTTTCCAGTATGAGTTTAACTTGCCCTGTGCGGAGGCGGTGGTGGTGGCGGTGGTGCTCGTCACAGAGGTTTTGGCGAGGGTGCTGCTCACTGAAGAAGTCACTGCAGAAGTGTCAACAAAGGACGGGTGCCCTTGTCATTTTAATGCTTGAGCAGAACTCAGGAGATGTTTCCCTCATGGAGTCCTTGTCTTTCTTTCCTTCTGTGCCCTGCCAGTCTAGCAAGATACTATAAAAAGCGGCTTTCTCGAAAGGCAGAAGTTTAAGTTCACGGAAGAGGAAATGGGTCTCTTTACTCTTTCTTGTTTGTTTGTTTATGATTTGGGTGATGGTGGGAGGCGCCTGTGAGATCTGTTTTCTCTCTTTTCTAATTAGAAAACACAGTGCTAATAAGGATAGCCTATCTAGATGTACTGCTCCCCCATGGATAAAACTCCTGGCTTAGAAGGGGAACTGTGTCTTCACAGACCATATCGTTGCTGCTTCTTGAGTTTGTGGAGATGTGTTCAAAATCTCCGCCCCGATAAGTTCTGTGAATACCACACTTCCTTCCTCTCTCCCCTGGCCTCTGCCTTTGAAGTCTATTCAGAGCAGAGCTCCTTGTAACTTCGTGCCTGTGACTGGCTTGGAAGCGTTTTGTTCTGAGGATATGGTCCTGCTTGTCAACTCTGTTAAAAGTCCTGTTTCGGAAATCCTTCCAAGCCCGGAGGTTTCCGCAGTCGGAAGCTGCCCTGGCTGAGATTTCCTTCTGTTCTTAAATAGTCTCTGACATTTGTAAAGAGAAGAGGGATGGATGCTTGCCGGTTTTTTTTCTTTCTTTCTTTCTTTCTTTCTTTCTTTCTTTTTTTTTTTTTGTGTGTGTGTGGTTTGTGTGGGGGCGGGGGCACGGGGCTGCTAAAACACACACCGTGAAACTTTATGAAGCTCTTTTCTTAATACCCCTGCTCCACTCTGAGTAATCAGTCGCATTTTTAAGTGAGCAAGACGCAGGTGTATCCTTGCGGAAGGACCTGCGAGTCTGTACAAAGCTAGCCTAAGAGTGCCACATTGAAAGGGGACTGTGGGAGAAAAGAAAGCTAATAAGGAGGGGGCTGAAGGGTCCTTATGCTTCAACAAACCTATTCAAGGTCTGTATCAGAGAAAAGAAAATAAATAAATACAAGAATCATGTGAGGTCGTTCCCACAGAAGTGGGTGGTTTGAAAATCCATGTCAATGGATGAAAAGAAAAAAAAAATAGGGAGGGGTGTGGGCATCCCCAGCAGACCTGTTTTTGCCAGGCAGACAAAGGGGTCTTGAAGGTGGTGAACCCGCGCGTGGGAATTCCTGGGAGAGGCGGAGGCTGGGGCTTGTGAGTAGAGGCTCTTTGTTCCCTTCTGAACTGATGGGTTTGGAAGATGAGCCCGAGCCTAGACAAAGCAGCCAAGCCTCTACAGGACTCCAATGGTTTGGGACCCCGGTGAGCAGGAGTGGGCGTGGCGATGAGCAGGGTCTCCAAATCCTGGAAAGGAATCCTTTCCCAGCTTCTGTAAACTGCCCTCGGGGAAGAGGCATTCACCTGAGTGCCCCAGAGGGAAAGAATAGATCCAGGACACTCCACGTTTCACAGCGACATTTCTTCCGTGGCCTTTTTCTGGAAACCTTTGGAGGGTGGGCGCAGCCCAGGGAGGTGGGGAACCGCAAGCCGCCACACAGTGGCTGGGTCGCTCTACTAAGCCGGGGCCTGCACCCTTTGCCCGCTGAGCTGCTGTTTCTTTCATCCCAGTTCCTTTGAGGAGGCTTGAGGCAGTCACTTGAGTTAACACAACAGGAAGAGAGGTGTGCCCTGGGTAGCCTCTCCTGTCAAAGAACTAGCTGCCAGAGCAGAATAAAGAGGACACGGGTAGAGGGCCCATCGTTTCTGAACGGAATCAACCTCTTGTGACTCCTTTTTGTGACAGTCAAACAAACAAACAAAACAAAAATTCGTATTCAAAACTCCTCCTCTTGAATTAAAACCTCTTTAATTACAACTGCAGTCCTTTTGGGCAAAACAGGGACAGCCCTCATACACGTGCTGCTGGAATTCTGACTGCCATGAGCTTCCAGACTCGGTAGTGCGAGGTGGAGGTTGGGTTGCCAGGGACAGTGCAGGGTAGCTGTTGTCTGGACATTCATTCTCTTTCCGTCAGAATGAAACATTTGGGAGAAAAGCCTGTGGCCTGAGCACGTGGCTTTCCTTCAACTCCCCTCCCCCCAATAGTGCCTCTGGCTGAGTTGACTCACCAGCTAACTCATCTCCCTTCTCCTTACAAGCTTATGTGGAGAGGCCAGTATTGAGATGACTTATAGAGTACAGGAGCTCTGGAGACCAGAGCAAAGCTTCATTTAAAAATGAACTAACAGAGGCAGTCTACAGCCTTTGGGGGGCACTGCGTGCCTTGCAGGTGGGCAGTAGTTTCAACCTAGTCCTTGAATCCTACGTTCCTTTGGATTCCTATTCAAAGTCCCTGCTCCCATGAGCATTTCTCACTAGGTAGGTGGTGGCTCTAAGTCAACCCTTCTTCCTTTAGCAGAGTCCCCAGGAAAAGTCAGTGCGGCATCATTCTTCAGTGTTGAACAGTCATGCTGTGCAGCCAGGAAAACTCTAGTTGAAGAACGCTGCAGTCCACATTCACCTTGTGTTTGTAGAGCCCACCAGCAGTGTGCTCAACAGGCACAAGGGACCATTCCCAAAAATCCAAGCAATAGTCAGTGGCCGCTGAGACTGCCATTGCCTTCTGTGCAAAGTTTATTGATTGTTACAATGACTTTTTTTTTTTTCAGTTTACCTCAGACGATCAGGAGTATTAAGTGTGTTACTCTTGACAATATTTTTTATTATATTTTTATTGCATGTGCCTCACATTTGTCCCATGTTTCCTCCTTTCCTATGTTCATCAGAATATATTGGAAATGAGTTTTAAGATTCCCACATGCTCTACACGAACATGCCTATCTAATGAGGAAAGACTTTGAAAGTGTGACAAAGTTAGGTGATGTATAGATGTCTATTTTGATTAAATTCCCGGAAACTTTCTTGGCAGACTGAAATGAGACTTAAACATACTTGTCTTATACATATCTTTCTTTCCCCCTCAAGGCTGCTTACATTATGTTACTAAATGAGCAACAGTTATGAGTTCTGGCATTCATAAAGTTGACAGTAAAGCTAAACACTGGTGCATAAACTATGCATAGGACAAGTTAGTTTCAAGGTAGAAGACATTTTTGGAAACCAGCATTCCACAGTTTCCACTTACGTCATAGATTATATTTATAATTATATGACACTATGTCTCATCATTTTTTGTTTAATACTTTGGGAATAAAATACAGACCCCCCACACCGCTTAGGTTCAAACTTATTTTGATTCAAGTTCTTTTGTGATATGATTTTTTAAAAGTTAAATTAGTGAGGAAGCTTAGTCTAGTCACATTCATTCCAATGCCAATTAGCCATTGGGAGCTTCAGTGGAATGGACTTAGCTGTTGAGACCTAACATCCAAAACTGTATTTAATCACCTTTGTTATGGATATCAGAACTGATGGAAACTCAAATCAAAAAAAAAAAAACACCAACAAAAGATTTGTCACTATTAGGTGGCGAAGTAAGACTATCCCCTCACAGGGGATGCGATGAGTTATCAACTTCATTGAATTTCACAGCCATAAGCAGGAACACTTATAAGCAGGAACACTGGGAGATTACATTCTTCAGTCCGGAGTGATTTCTTTGGTGTCTTTAGGCTCTTCCAGTTTAAAATTGCATGTTGACAGCTTTGTAGATATCTCCATGCAAAAAACAATATAAATGCTTTCGATGCAGATGTCCAGATGTGGTGTCCAAACTAGAAGGAGAAACAAGCAGTGTGGAAATGTCCTTCATGCCTTGAGTTCATGGGAAGGGAGTTTTAGTTAAAATGGAGTGAAACCAAGATCATGAGCAAAAGTATCCCTGGGGTCCTGTTCAACCTGGCAGGGGAAAAAAAAAAGTATGCTCTCTATCTATATGATTCCTTTGTGTGTAAAGGAGAAGTTTGAATTGTATGCACCCTCTTCCATTCAAGGTTCTTTCCAGTGACAAAAGCCTGATGCTCAGCCAGTCACCAATTTAATAGAAGTGGTTTAGACAGCGAAGTACTGCACTGACATAGTGTTCACAAAAAATGGATTTGGACTTTTTTTAAATTACTTTTTGAATGTTAAGTTTTGAAGTTCTGATGAGGTGCTGCAGGACTGAGCCTAGCATTATAAAAACCACAGTACCATAATACAGGATAAATTTTAAGAATTTGATCTCATGCATCATTTGACTTCTGTGAAAATATATCTATTGTGAAAATGACTGTTCTAATCTTTGCAGTCCGTGGCAGAAGTATGATATTGGTAGCTATGAATGGAGAGAAGACAGGAAAGCTCCTTGCTTCTTGCCAGGAAAATAGTGATAATTGATGCCGGCTTAACAGTGCACTCTAAAGTGTGATGGTTAACTTTTGCACACATCCATACTTTCACTCAATGCAATTATTATCATTTAAATGTATAATATGAAAATTGATGACTGGATCACTGCTTAATGAAATGTACCTTGTTTCCTAACATCCTAAATGACCTCTGCAAAAGGATTATCAGTAGCCTTGCACAGACAAAACGCAAATGTGTCACTTCAATCAGAACTGTGTAAAAGACTAATTTGTATAGAGTTCCAAATTTCACAGGGCGTGGCTTTCATGTGATCTCATAAGCAGCACAGGGAGCCGCTTCAAATTAAAAGTACATATTAAAAAACAATGTTGAAGAGTAAGAAGCCAAACACAAGCCTCCAGCTTTAGAATCCTCCAACAACTGCTAAAAGGCAGTGTTTCTATTGGTAGATAACATTTTGTAGGTAATACACACACATTCAGATTTGGTGATTTTGAACAAGCATTTTGCTTTTTAGTAGTAGTATTGAAAGACAAAAAATAAATAAATAAAGGGTTGCAGGTAAATAACCAGTGCACATACTGAAAGGCCTGCTATCGTGAATGAACTGCTAATTCTCTGAATCCTCTACCAGAAACCAGAAAGACAAACATCTATTCAATAGTTCACTGCTCAGCCCTACAGGTCCTCATGGCTTAAATGAAAAATAAAAATAGATGTCTGTCATCATCAGGACAAAGCCCTAAAATTAGCAGTTCACATGGTATACTATACACTAGAGAATATTGATAGGAAGAGGTAGTTGCTTTTAAAACCATGCAAAAACACCACTAGATATATGAACTGAATGAGTTTTCCTCTCTGCCTCCTGGTAATCTCACCCTTATGATGTTAGAAAACAATTCTTTTTTAAATTGGCACTTGAACAATGCATGAAAAATTACTTTGTTATAGAGAAACCCATAATCTTCGAAGTCGTTGTGTATTAAACAGTATCATTGCTGTTTGTCAAGGCTAAGGAAAGGCCACAGTTACCTAGTAAAGTAGCAGTGCCCATGAATACAGAGCCAGCACTCCATGAAGTCAAGAAACATGTACAGATCTGCTATACACAAGGTTTTCTTATTAGCTCTCAGCAAAATCTCTATTCAGTACATTTATATGCCTTCTCTGAAACAAAATTAATTTTGGTCCCCAAAGTTATAGGCTTACAAAATAATTGGCCAAACATCATGCAGTGTAAGCAGTAGGGGGGGTGGTAGTTGGTATTGTAGCTTTGATGAGAGATATTTTTCTTCAAATATCATGAGGTCTGTCTTATACTACAGACAGATTCTGTTCTAAAAAATATGTAGAAGTTTGCTGTGATAATGTCCATCACTTAACTCTGAAAATACCTCCTGCCATGCTTCTCTTTCCTTCTATCCAATTGCAAAACTTATATCCAATTTTTAATCACTAATGTAAATATAATTGCGTATGATGACACTCATGCCAAGTGTGTCTGATGTTCACACAGCTGTCCTGTTTGTTTTGTTTCAGAGATGGTGAATTGTGTTTGAGCAGATCACTTGTCAACAGCTCTGATAAAATCATTCGGAAGGCTGGCTCAACCATCTTCCAACATTCTGTACAAGGCTGGAGAATCAATTCTTCTTTAGTCCTGGAGATACGGTGAGTTCCTTTAATAAGAGCCCGAAATTTCACATCATGATTAAACATGTTGGGTTTGGCAAACTTATATCGAACATTTGATTTATGGTTTCAGTGTGAATATTTAATGAAAAAGTGAATCAGCTATACTTAATGTTCCTCATGAAAGAATATGGAACAAAGAAGTAAAACCATTCTGTAGTCAAATTTTCAAGGATGATGGAATTTTGAATATACTATCTTATTATCAATGGAATAAAATATTGAGCTAAGTACTGACGTTTAGCATATTTTAAGTCAATTGTTCAGGATGAACATTCACTTTTGGAATCATTTTCTTAATCTTTCCTTATCGAAGCGTTGCTTTGATCTGACATTTAACTGCATAGAACAGAGAGGTTCCTCAATTACTTTTTTTAAAAGTATGGATTGGTTTGACATATTCAATGATTATGCCTGTTTAAGCTCATGCGAAAAAGTGAGCAAAAAGCCAGAAATTCAACTTTCTAAAGTTCTGGCTTATTGTTTGCCAGCCAGACATTTTATGCTGGAATGAGTTACTGAAGTAAAATCCAATGACTCCTATCCATTACAACACTTTCTTCTATTTCAGTCTTAGAGTTTATGAGAAAAATGGGCTATACATTCCTAAGCATGAAGAGAAAGAACAAGAACCACATTTTCCTTTATACTTTCATTACACTGTTGCTTTGGTTGGTATGCCTAAATTAGAACACTTCGGTAATTCAGAATTCAAAAAGTTTGAGAGAACATATCCCTTATATGTATGTAAAAACATTGCTTTTTAGCTTTTTTTTTTTTGCAAAATGCTAACTATTCATTGATGAGATATTGACATCAAAATTTTGTGATAGTAGCTGACTGAATAAAACGGTGAGGGTCTCATCTATTTGTCAGCTTGACATTTTTGTCCTCTTGTGATACCTGTAGAGTATCTCTCTCTGTGTCTTCCCTAACTAGAACTTCATTTGAATCTAAAATAAGTTAGCAATGAACTAATTATTAGGAATGAGGAAATAGAAGAGCATAACATTAGATCTCAGAGGCTGATTGAAAGAGAAAGAGGTGATAGAAAAGAAAAGAAGTTATTTACAACCATGACATCAAGGAAAAATGACCCAGTAAGAAAGGAGTCATGGCTGCATGGATAATATAAAAGAAAGTGGTGGAGAGTTATACAAAAGAAAATTATCATAGGTTAACATATGTAGTTCTGCTTAAAATATGGCATGCATTTGAAAATCAAAAAAGTATACTAAATGAATACTATTCCTCCATAATTAATAATCATGCATTCCCGATGTCTTTTCAAAAATGAATACTATGTGTATTCTTGAGACTTGACATTTGCATTTTGCTGTTTACTAAAGGTGTTAAATATAAACGGACTCAATTGAGTACCTTACGGAATAATGAAGGCTGCAGTTGTAGTTTTGAAGGTGAGCTTTTTCAGTTAACAACTGTTAATATGAATGAGATGTTAGTGCTAGCTATGTTTATATTGTTCCCCTTAACAAAGAGGTAAACAATGCAAGAGTGAACAAATATTGAATAATACATACAAAGTTGTCATTTGCAAGCAAAGGATAATTTGTAAGTTCATTATTGCACAATGTGCAAACAGTTCATAAAAATTACAATTGCCTCTAGCAGCAATGACTATTGAGTATTAATCAGTTTGACACCTGTAATAAAAGATTTAGGATATGACAACATCTTGTTGTTTGGCTTAGGTTTTACAAGTCTATTGTTAATAACCACATCTGTGAGTGGGCGGCTGGATACTCTTCAATGCTTTGATTGGGCCATCACTTACAAATTTTTCTCTCTCTCTTAAATAGTAGAATTGTGCTTTAAGGGTTTTCTAGTTTTTTAATTACCATTATACATTATATTTATAATTTTCTAATGATATATCTAACAAATTATTTGTTAATTTATATTAACATGTAATGGTTGTATAGGACCTTTCCCTTATATTTTTGGATATGAATTTTGTTTCTAGCCCTCAGTCCTTCAGTCTGCATCTTTCATTAAATACATCAGGTGTTGACTTACTAAGCAATTGTAGGAGGAGATTTATTCATTGTGCTTTGAAGACTCCTCAAGATTTAAAGAGTTAATGCACATTACAAGTAAATTCGCAATCAAAGTGATCACCTTGTTCTGAGGCTTTGTTGTATGGACACTAGTTTGTTTAGAATGTTTTCTTCAGAAATGGCACATTTCGGCTTCATTACTTATGAATAAGCCTGTGAATATTGTCAGTTTCTGTCCAGAATCTGTCTCTTGACCTATTTCTCATATTTGGTTCTTTTTTTCTCTTTTTTCACATTTCACATATTAAAAAGAAACAAAACCCTAAGAAGTACAAATGCCAAATAAAGGTGTAGAAATATATAAACTCAAGTACTTTCCCAAAACAGCCTAGCCAATGATTAGTGAACTATTTCAATCTCTTATATGTCTTAAACCTATAAAAGTGATTAAGTTTACATGAGTGCACATTTGTGTGTTTAGTTGTGTAAAAGAACTTACTGTTATATTTATAGACTACGTTCCCAAAATACACCATATACAGTTCTTACACAGTCTTATATCTAGTGTGATCAGCAAGTGACAATAATGTTAATTGTGGCCTAAGTAGCTTATTTAGCCAGAGTCAACATTCCCATTGAGTGTTTTGCTGAACAAGTTGTAGGCAATTTTGGTCCTAAATATAGAGGGCTAAACAAGTTTTAGACGATTTTGGTCCTAAATATAGAGGGCTTTTTTATGGAGTATAGGATATTTATTTGATGTAAAAATAGAAGATTATAAGTTTTTGTCATCCAGTTTTATGAAATTTATAGCCAAATGTGAAATGCTAACATATAAAAAACAATGTTCTTCATCTATTTTGGGACATTAGTTTTCATTTGGTGTCATTGTTTAGCATTTTCCTTTATACTAAAATATCCTTCCTGTACATGTTCCTCAGTTCTGAATTGCTAAGTAATAAAAAGACTTTGTTCTTTTAGAACTTTGAGGCAAAATGCTTCAGAAGATAATCGTTTAGACAAAAACAGTCATGTAGGGATTTTCTTTCATTTTGTAGGCAAAATAATGCACTCAGCAGTTTCAAAGTTCATTTTTTTTCACTTTAGTAAACTGTGTTGTTGTCAATCAATGTGGTGTTTTTTTTTTGTTTTTTTTTTTTTTTTTTTTTTTTTTTTTTTTTTTTTTTTTGTAAAACACAAAGTTGGCTGAGCTCCTGAAGTTCTGTTGAAGAGAGGGAGGAGGGTCAAGAGCATGATGGGAAAAACCAGAGAGAGCTGACCAGAGCTAGTGGGAACTCACAGACTATGGACTTACCATAGTATCTGCCTGGGAATGAACTAGGCCTATGAAAGCAGGTGACAGTTATGTGACTTGATCTGTTTTGGGGGAGGGGCTGGCAGTGGCACCAAGACCTATTCCAGGGGCCTGAACTGCCTCTTTCTTTGGAGCCAATTCTGTATGGTGGAGTATTTTGCTCGGCCTTGTTACAATGTAGAGGGGCTTTGTCCTCCTCCAACTTGGTATACCAGACTTTGTTGACTCCCCAAAGAAGTCCTTAGCCCTTTTGAGGAGTGGGTGGGGTGTTGGAAGATGGGGAGGTGGGGGGGTTAGAAGGGGAGGGAGGGGGAACTGAAGTTAGTATGTAAAATGAAAAATATATTTTTAGAATAAAAACACAAAGTTTGCAAACACTGATTCTCTTGACTTTTCTATTTATTGTAATAAATTTATATCAATTTCATTATGATATATGTATATATATATATATGTGTGTGTGTGTGTGTGTGTGTTTATATAAATAACCTAATTTGATTTTCAACTTTGAATGTATCCTGCTGTAAGGTGACTCAGTGCTTTGTGGTGGGACAAATGCACTTTCAATGGAATTTCAGTTGCCACAACACATACTGTTGACCCAACATGTGCCGAGAAGACAGAATGGCATGTGGTGTCGAGTTAGCTATATTTAACATTTCACGGATGAAAACAATATGTAGTAAATTAGTCCTGTGGGTCTCGGCAGCTGCTGTTAGCACTGCTGGCTGCTGTTCAAAGGCAAGTTCTTCCTGAAACTTCAGTTGTGGGGTTTCTGTACAGCATCTTTGCTGTCAGTTTAACAGTTCAGTTCACTAACCTTTGGGCTTAAGCCAACTTCGTTTTTGTTTTTTTTTTATGGTTTTTGTGACTAAGATTTTCAGTCTCACTGAAAATGAAACATTTTTTTCAATTTTTTTTTTAGTCACCATTAACTGTAAGTAGGTGTTGGTTTAACTAAAGATGTTTGAGATCTGAATTAGCATCACCAAACGACAGTTGAGACCTGAGTAGTCCCCTGCCTTTGTTCTTTGAAATTAGACACAATCCCTGACTTTAACTCTCTCTTAGTGGCTTGACCACGTACCAAGAAAGCTTGCAAAGTTACAGCTTGCCTACAAATTCAGTTTTTGCTGACTTGTGAGTCTGTAAGCTTGTGCGTTAAGCTGAGTTTCCCTTTATTTCTGAAGCAATTTTGCTTCCTCTGCTGCTGAACAAAATTTAATTCTTATTATGTCCAAAAGCAAACCATTTATGTCTTCTGATGAAACCTAAAAGTTTTTCAATTCACGCTAAGAAAAAGTTATATTTCGTGTTTTCAGTGACATTCAGCTAATTATATTTAAGCACCATTTTTTTTCTTCTTCTGTTTACATACAGTCTAAGTTACAAGTGTTTTTAGGGAATCCATGGAATTTCGAATGTTCCATTGTATCTCTAATAGAATAAAGATGGCATTAGCCTTCTGAAGTGAGAAGAACTAACCATTCCTCACTGGTTAGTGAGCTTTGTGCTGCTGAGCCCCAATATTACTCACTCAGAATAATCACTGTTATGGAAGTCCTCCAGCAATCTTATCTCCAGAAACATCCCGTGCATAAATTCCAGCCCTCAAATATGACTTAAATGTTTGACTAAATATAAGAAATAAAACATACAGATATCATTTACAGCCATTCAAAGTCTCTACCTTTTAACTTTCCAGTTTAAAATAGCACACTCTACATTTTAAAAAGTTCTAAATCTTATCATAAATCTTTTTTCTATTTTTAGTTTTCATTAGTCTATATGATTTGGAATTTTTATTTAAGGTACTTTTCTTTTTCTTCCTTCCTTCCTTCCTTCCTTCCTTTCTTTCTTTCTTTCTTTCTTTCTTTCTTTCTTTTTTTTACTCCTGCTTTGTAAAAATAAATGATGGCTAAACCCCATAAGCCAGCATTAGAAGGACACATGACATTGACCTGTACTCTACTGCACTTAAGAACTGTTTATGTCATTGGCTACTATTTTCTCCCCAAAGTTAGGCAGCCTGTGCAGCTTACAATTTGTTTGAACTTTTCCAACACCTTTTAAACTTTTTCCCTAAGAGTGGCTAAAGTTCATGTGTTCTTCTGACTGGGGTGTCAGATAAGGCATTTTGAATTTTCTATTAATGAGAAAAGACTTTTTTTTTTTTTTGGAAAGTCCCTCTTGTCCGTTCACAGGCATGTCAGTGTAACGTTTTGATGAAGAGGAAGGGAGTTTCCCTTTTGGATGTCTAAGCTACAGAAGCTCCTTTCATACCTGCAGTTCTGATCTCCTCATCTGAAGGTGCCGAACACGCTATAGCTTCTGAGCTCAATCTTTAAATGCATCTACAGCCGCCCATTGCAGGACTCTTCAAAGGGAAATGGCAGCCGCTCCCACTTCGATGATTTAACCACATCCGTGCAGTCTTTATTTCCAAGACAACCTGGGCATCTTCACAGCTAATGAAAATTTGTGTTAAAATACAGACATCTTGCCCTTCCTATGTCCCCCCCCCCAGGCAACCAAGTAGTAGTTAATAAATGTGTAGTCAAGATTATTTGTGGTGTCACTTTTGATAGTAGGTGTTACCTTTGTGGAGAAGAACTAGATCCTGATAGCGTTTTGTTCTTACTAATGAGACTGGCATTACCCAGTGTCACACAGCATAGGTGATATTAGCACAAAATGAAAATACATCTCTTTATCAGACAGATTACTGCCAGGCACTCACTTTTATCCCTGTGAAGGCAGAAGCATGCCTTAAGAGCACCTTGGTAAAGAACATCTGCTTTGCGGTGTTTACTAGGGTTTCCTCACACTGCTTTTTGCTATTCTATGTTTGGTAGCTGTGGGATTCAGTAATCGTGGACCTTTGTAGGCCGAATTCCTTTTTTTCCCTCCATTTTTTAATTTAAATTCTAAACAAGATTGTTTTACATGTCAATCCCAGTTCCCTCTCCCTTTCCTCCTCCCCTGCTCCCCACTAACACCTTACTTATCCCATACCCTTTATATTCCCCCGGGAGGGTGAGGCCTTCCATGGGGATCTTCAGAGTCTGTCATATCCTTTGGGATAGGGCCTAGACCCTCCCCCATGTGTCTAGGCTGAGGGAGTATTCCTCTATGTGTAGTGGGCTCCCACAGTCCATTCCTATGCTAGGGATAAGTACTGATCTACTATAGGAGGCCCCATAGATTTCTGAGGCCTCCTCACTGACACACATGTTCATGGGGTCTGGATCAGTCTCATGCTGGTTTCCCAGATATCAGTCTGGGGTCCATGAGCTCCCCCTTATTCAGGTCAGCTGTTTCTGTGGGTTTCTCCAGTCTGGTCTTGACCCCTTTGCTCATCACTCCTCCTTCTCTGCATCTGGATTCCAGTTCAGTTCAGTGATTAGTTGTGGGTGTCTGCTTCTACTTCTGTCAATCAGCTGTTAGATGAAGGCTCTAGGATGGCATATAAGTTAGTTAGTCATCAATCTCATTATCAGGAGAGGAGATTGTTAGTTGGAGTCATCCTTGTAGATCTCTGGACATTTCCCTAGTGCCTGATTTCTCTTTAAACCTATAATGGCTCCCTCTCTGATGGTATCTCTTTTCTTGCTCTCCTCTATTCTTCCCCCTACTCAACCTTCCTGCTCCCTCATGTCCTCCTCTCCCCTCCTCTTCTCACCTTCTCATTCTCCTTGCTGCCTCTCCTCTCCTCCTATGCTCCCAATTTGCTCAGGAGATCTTGTCCCTTTCCCCTTCTCTGGGAAACCATGTATGTCTCTTTTAGAGTCCTCCATGTTTCCTAGCTTCTATGGCAGTGTGGATTGTAGGCTGGTAATCTTTTGCTCTATGTCTAAAATCCACATATGAGTGAGTACATACCATGTTTGTCGTTTTGTGACTGGGTTACCTCATTCAGAATGGTTTCTTCTAGTTCCATCCATTTGCTGCACTCCGAGGTTTTTGTCAACATCATTTCTTCACAAGCTAGTAGATCCTGCCATATTTATTTGATGTTAGTTACAAACATGAATGACTCCTTCCAAGGCACAGGAGAATGGTAGGGGAAGGAACTGGATTGATATATAAAATAATATTGTTTCTAATTTAATTTTGAAAAGGAGAAAAGAATCAACAGCTAAATAATTTTAAACCAGTTTCCCACAAGAAATCAATTTGTTGTATACAATATTCAGCTTCCAAAGTTTGAAAGGCCAACCACTTTGCCAGGTGTATTTTCTCTTACGGCGCATTTCTCCTGCCCTCCAGTCTGTTAGGTGGATTTTTGAATTTTCTGCTCTTTGGAACATGCACATATTTATATTTGCACAGCATCTTAACCTCATGATTAGTTTATACAATAACTATAGGACGGTATGGTTTTTAAAAATAAAACTATGGGCTTTAAAATACAATCATATGTAAGATGCATTCACATCCAATTTGAAAAGATCAATACAACAATCAAAACAGCTAGACTTATGTTTAAAAACTAAGAAATGTTCTCACTGATTATCCAGGGCACCTTGCATGTGTGTGCAAGTGCACGAACACACACACACATATCACACCCAACACACACACACACACACACACACACACACACACACACACACACACACACACACACGAACTCTTAAGTATAAAGGAAGACTTACAGACAGATTTAATGTACCATTTGGGTATATGTACTTTGGGAAGATTCTCAATAGTTTAATACTTCTGTCTATGGTCTAACTCAAATAACTTAAAAGTTATTGTTGTTCATCTCACTGGACAATATTAAATAGAAGCAATGACTCTAAAAAATTAAAAACACTAGCCAAGCATTTAATGATACAAAGCCCATCTGTATCAACTGTATTTACATAATGAATTATATTTGAGTATATTTTGACAAATGGAGTGATTTCCCCACTTTTAATCACACACACACACACACACACACACAGACACACCTGATATCTACTTACAAAGTTATTCTAAACTTCTTACAAGATGGATTTTTTTCTTAGTATTTTTTTTAATTTTAGAGGCACTCATATTTACATATCCATCCCCCCATTCCCTCACCCTCCCATCCTCCCATGTTCCCCACCAATTCTCCCCACCCACTCCCCACCTCCTCCCCAGGGACCTTCAAAGTCCATCATATCATTTGGGGGAGGGCCTAGGCCCTCCTTGCTGTAATTGGGATGCAATAGTATCCCTCCATAGGGAATGGGCTCCCAAAGTCCATTTGTGCTCTAGGGATAAAGACTGGCTCCACTGTTAGAGGCCCCATAGACTGTCTTGGTCTCCCAGCTGGCACCCACATTCAGAGGGCTTGGTTCAGTCCAATGCTGGTTCCCTAGCTTTACGACTAGGGTCTCCATGCTCTCAGTAGGTCAGGTCAACTGTTTCTGTAGGTTTCTCCAGCACTGTCCTGGCTCCATTGCTCATCTCTCCTCCCTCTCTACTACTGGATTCCAGGAGTATGACTCAGTGTTTAGCTGTGTGTGCCTGTTTCTGCTTTGATGAAGGCTCTAGGAATGGTAACCAGGGTAGTCATCAATCTCACTATAGGGTAAGAGCATCAAAAGCATCCTCTCCATCACTGTCTAGATTCTGTGGGGTTATCCCTGTGGACTCCCTAATATTACCCCTGTGTCAGACCTCTCTCCAAACCTGTACTGTCTCCCTCTATCAAGGCATCTCCTTTCTTGCCCTCCTCTGTTTCTCCTTTGTCTCAGTCCTCTTATTCTCCTCCCCTCTCCCCTTCTTCCCTTCCTACCTCCTTCCCCGCATGCTCCCACTTTGTTCAGGGGTTCATGATGTAATTTTTTAAAAAAATACATTTTGTATAACATTTACTTGATTTAAGTACCACCTGAAATTTTAAGAGTAGTTGTTGCCAGTTGATATTGTGCGTTCAATGTGCAAACAACCCCATCATTTCTTAGATATGCAGTTCTTAATGTAAAGCTTTGCTTGCATTCCAAATATAGGAAGAACATTCTCCGTTTCTTAGATGCTGAACGTGATGTCTCTGTGGTCAAGAGCAGCTTCAAGCCTGGTGATGTCATCCACTATGTGTTGGACAGACGCCGGACGCTAAATATTTCCCATGATCTGCACAGCCTCCTGCCTGAAGTTTCACCAATGAAAAACCGCAGGTTTAAGACCTGTGCTGTTGTTGGAAACTCTGGCATTCTACTAGACAGTGGATGTGGCAAGGAGATTGACAGTCACAATTTTGTAATCAGGTGAGCATGCTTCTGTTTTTTGAGACTGCTAGCATGTCAACAATATTTTACTTCGAATGCTGTAAGGAATGTTTGAAATTTGTATTAACATTAGGAATTATTGATAACTCTACCATTTATGTGAGATAACCTTTACAGTGCTGGATACAAACAACCCTTTATTTAGGTAGTAGCATTTCACAACTGATTTTAAAGATGGGTCAATGAATATGTTAATTATATTAGCATGCACAGAGACAAACAATAGTTTGTTATACCTTTTAGTCATACATTTCATATAACTTAATTTGTGGAAAGAAGATTATTATGTAGTGCTGTCACAGACATAAACTAATTTATTACTTTATTGATTACTCAGCAGTTGCAAAAAGAGCTAAGTAAGTGGGTTTGTATCAACTAGCTTCAGTCAAATTGCCTTCTTTACTCTTTATTTGTGCTTTTGGAATTATATGTTTGTAAATTTACTTTTCTCACGTAATTGAACATACTCATTTATTATTTATTAGTGACCAACATATGACGAATCATGTGTTTGGTTAACTTTTTACTAAGTTAAAGAAGTAAGCAACGGACCATATCAGAGACATTTTTAATGTCCAGTTATAGCGTCTGTACAGTTTTTGTTGTCTTGGATCCTTAGGAAGCATGCTAAATTAAGGAAAGAGTTGTACCAATGTGTGAAAAATAGATAATGTGATGACAAAGGGTGTCCTCCGTGAGCTCTAAATACTGTTGTCTAAGTGAAATGTGGTTGTGAAGACTATGTAAGGATTCTAAACTCGGACAACCACAGGAGAGGTAAACTAAGGCTATGCAAGTGTCAGTGCGTGTTAGAAAGTATTGCGACATGAGGAAGTAGATTTCACAATGTGATTATCCCTGGAGGTAGTTGCTCCAAATGCGACTCACTTCTTCATTCTCCTTCTTGGGCCATAAACTTTACAGGCTGACTAAGCTGATCCATTCGGCCCTGTTTGGATGCTGATAAGACAACTGTTTTCTGTGTGACAGAGGCTGTCATCACTATCGATTGCCTTCATATTAGCTCATTGGTGTCACTTTCTGTTCTGCTTTTGTTACTCACTTATTCCGATTGTTATTTTAAAGGTATTATTATTATTATTCTAATTAAAAAACTGGTATTTTACATTGTATTATTCGTTTCATAAGTAGATTCCTAACTCCTTTCATCATTTGGTGGCTGCCATTGCTACAAATCACAGTCTTTCATTTTCATTTTCATTTTCTTTCATTCATTCCCTAGAAACTGCCCATCTTTGTTCTGGTCTCAGTCTCCTGCAACAGCCTGTATGTTTGTAGACCCCTAGGATCTGATCCGCGAATGATTACAGTTTTCAGTCTATGAATCTTAACATCTGTGTTTTATAAAGACAAAGCTCTCTTTCCTTAGTCTAGCAGGAACAACAGGCCACACCAATCCATACACTGTTCTACAATGGACAAGTAGAATTTAGGCCATGTTGCTACCCTGCCTAACCTCTAGCTAAATGCTGAGAAACCTGGATTTGACTAATGTCTTTTCTCCTCCTTTAATGAGTTTGATACTTAATTTTGTGTCTAACTGTTAGATTCACTATTCCACTATTCGTATATTCTGTTTTAGATCACTAATCTCCTAGTGTAACCATCAAATACATTTGATCATTTCTAGGAAAAGCAAACTTTGGTGATGTCCAGTATAATATTTTCATGTTTGAACTCTACACCCTGTGTTCCAGTATCTTTGATCTGCTTTACTAATGATGGGCAGATATATTTGGAGACCTATTCTATGTTCTGGAACAGAGCTATCTATAACCTGAAAGACAAACAATAAGAGGAATATAGTTATACGTCCTATGTGGGTATCCATTTGAATCCAGTTACATTTACCCCTCAAACGGCAGATGAGTATTTTAGGTTTCAGTAAGAAATTCTGCTGGTCGCTGGGCATTGGTGGTGCACACCTTTAATCCCAGCACTCGTGAGGCAGAGGCAGGCAGATCTCTGTCAGGTTGAGGCCAGCCAGGGCTCCAGAGCAAGTGCCAGGATAGGCTCCAAAGCCACACAGAGAAACCCTGTCTCAAAAAAAAAAGAAAAGAAAAGAAAAGAAAAAGAAAAAGAAAAAAAGAAATTCTGCTTGTCTAACAAGGTGGTGCTATAGGTTCTCTTTTGAGATCCATAACTTCACTAGCCTGAGGGAGTTGGCTAAGTTTCTAGTTTCAGGCATGGTTGATTTTCTTACTGTTGATGTGCTGTAAGTCTAGTTAGACAGCTGTTGGTTTCCACCTAACAGGAATACCACTACGGCACCTTTAGAGATACCCTGTCATGGTGGTCGTTATTTCTATCCACATGGGTAGGACTATGGATTCCTTGCCTTCCTTGGGAGCCTGCATAGTCCTTTCTGGTACTAAGAAAGCTGGACTGCAGGAGGGAGGCTTTCAGGTTATATCCAGCCCAATCTTTTGAGTCTTGTGTCTTATATCTGAGGTGTCAACAGCAATAGAGTATATAAAAAAGCCACTATCAGGCAAACTTACCCCTTCATTGATTGATGGTCTTCTCATCCACATGCAAGAGAGAACCTCTCTGTGTATAAGTTGTGTCTTTCTAGGGTGAAGGATGCTAAAACTTGTACCTCTTGTCATCATCTCAACTTGCTTATTCACAAAGAAAGACATGAAAATCTCTGTTGAGCAACCTTTCCTTCTCATGATAACCTTTTCAAACTTACAGCAAAATAGTTACTCCTTTATAATTTGTAAAGTGTGAGTTACAAAACAACTTTTTATAAAGATGAACTCATATAAATTTAGTGTTCTCCAGCCTGGAGCTAGTTTACAGGAAAGATGCTAATGCGTACATGAATATTTGAAGTCTTTTCATAGCTAATTTATTTTTCTAAGTTGTTCTCATCTCTGTTATATTATTTGCTTCAGGTCACAAAGTTTTTAAAAATGATAATAAAACTAGGCCAAAACTATTGGGATGTACAAGTCAACTGTATATTAGGTTAATATTGAACAAAGGTTTTTAAACAGGTTTTCAACATAGAAATAATTGCCATGTCTTTGGGCATTTGAAGCTGGTTAATGCCCTTCATGCCAGAATTTCACATGCTTGTTTATACTTTGCAAGCTATGGTTATTTAGTGTTTAATAAGAATGCAATAATGGTAAGTTATTGTAACACAAAAAATAAAAGGACCCAGAGACTGATATTGGGGTTCAAGCTTCAAACTGAAAGTCAAAAAACCAAAATAGTAGGTCACTGGCTCTCACCCTTACCTCAGGCTGAATGGGCTGATCCTGCTGCCTCTCCTCAGTGTGATTGGAGAATCCTGATGGTGAATGCCTTTCTATCCTCAGTGTGGTTGAAAAAGGATGTCTGATGCTGAGACTTTGCTCCTGTGTTGTATATCTCCCTAATGCTGGGATTAAAGCCAGGTGATCCCAGGTTCTGAGATCATCTATGGGAGCCGTATCTCTTTAGGACAGGGTCAATCTTGTGCAGACCTCAGTGGCCTTGGACTCACAGAGATCCACCTGCCTCTGCCTTCCAAGTGCATTAAAGGCGTGTGCCACCACTGCCCAGCTATTGCACATTTTCCTTTACCTCTTTCTGGAATACTGCCCCAGAGTTCTGATCCTCCCTTAAAATCTTAACATTCAGGGGTACAATCTTCTTTTCCTTCCACAAATATCTGGGAACTTCTGCTACTGTAGCTCTGTGTAATAGTGACATTCTTGCCATTAAAGGTGCAGAAAAAATATTTGTTTAGAGTTTATTGAAAATGCAATTCCTCCTTGAAGTACTTCCCTGTTTATTTTCAGCTGGCTAGAACATTGGGAATAGCTCAGGAATCAGAGAGCTCAAACACCTGCAAAGATGCACAGTTGTTTGAATGGTTTCTTGAGTAGACCGTTTCCAGTTTGTTTGTTTGTTTGTTTCCCAGGTGTCTTAGTAGATAATAGGTTTGTTGAGGGAGAGATGAATTATGCCTAGTCTGCTCTCATCAGCACTGATTAGCTAGTGAATTCTCAAGATTGAATGTGTCTAAGTATTATGTTTAACTTGACCTCTGAGTTTCAAGACAATAAAAAAATTTCAAAGATAGATCTTTATTCAGTGTTGCCCACATTTTATTTATTGTTTTTGACAGTTATATTAAGAAATAAGCTGACATCTATCTTAGCTATGCTCAAGTGTGCATAGTATGGCATGCAAAGAGCAAACTTCTGCTCCAAGTAGTTTCCTTCTGGGAGTGGGTGTAGGGAAATATAAATGGCATATATGTCTTCTGTTTGCTGTTTACTTATGAGAACTGAAAATATTAATATCCTCATGAATTTTAAGATAAGCACAAGAAAATTCCCTAATATTTTATAAGCATAGAACACATTTGAACACACTTTTTCTTTTCTGTAAAGTACTGATTTGAACAATTAATCTATCAATTGCATTAACAGTAGTTTCAGATAAACGATGGACAAAGGGGACCTATGATCACTTCAGTACATGACACTTGAGGTGTAAAAACAAAGATTAAAACATTAGAGTCAGAAAAACGTATTGAGAGTTTCCCTAATATTTTGACCATATCCAACCCTCCCTACCTCTTCCCAGATCCACCCAACTTTGTGCCTTTTTACAATTCCTTTTGGACTAATTTATCCTGTCCAGATATTCTTGGATGTGTGCCCTTCTTCTGGTGCACACTGACTTACCAGAGACTTCACTCTTAGAGAAAGCTGCCTCTCCCTCTCCTAGCATCTAACAATTACCAGTAACTTTAGAGGTGGGGGTGCAACTGGGAGTCCAACTTCCCTTTCCTTTCCTTTTCCATTTTTCCAGCTTGGGCTTGAAGCAGCCTTTTGCATGCTTCCAGAACCACAGTGAATTCATATGTATGGCTTCCCTGATGTATAGAGAAGATAATATTTCACTGGACTCATCCACCACTCTGGCTTTTACAGTCTTTATACTCCCTCATCCAC